TGCTTGCTTCAGTGCCTGGCTGCCGGCCGCCATCTTGGCTGACAGTTAATTTGCATATACTCACTGATTAGCCAATGAAAAGGGTAGCGGTCGTACGCTAATTACCATGTTTCTCTTTTATTAGTGTAGATATTTGTATAGTTTGAGTTTCTTGTAATGTTTGTAGTTTTCAATACAAAGACCTTTGCACATATTTCACTATATTAATATCTAGTTATTTAACATTTTGGTGATGCTATTATAAGTGATGTTTTAAATTTTTATTTTAATTTTTCATTGCAAGTATATAATATATACTGACTTTGTATTCTGAAGCTATGATAGATCCACTTTTTAGTTCTAATAAAATTTGTGTAGATTAAAAAAAACCCTAAATAAAGTAATTTAAGAGCAGACAAAAAAGGGGAATTATCAAATATCTGGAACACATGGAAAACTACTAGTAAGATGGCAGAGTTAAATGCAATCACATCAGTAATCACATTAAGGATTTGATGATAAGATCAATATCCAGAATTTTTTAAAAACACCTGTAGCCCAGACGGTATGGTTCAGCGGTTGAGCGTCGACCTATGAACCAGGAGGTCATGGTTTGATTCCCGGTCAGGGCACATGCCCAGATCCCCAACCTTGAGTGTGCAGGAGGCAGCCAATCAATAATTCTCTGTCATCACTGATGTTTGTATCTCTCCCTCTCTGAAATCAATAAAAATATATATTTTTAAAAAAATAAAAACACCTATAAACCGCCCTGGCCCATGTTGTTAAGTGGTTAGAGCATCGGCTTGCACACCAAAGGGCCTTGGGTTCAATTCCCAGTCAAGGACAGGTTGCAGGTTTGATCCCCAGCTCCAGTTGGGGCACATGTGGGAGACAACCAATGGATGTCTCTCTCTCACATCAATGTTTCTCTCTTCTTCCCCCCCTCCCCCCATTTCTTTCACTCTCTCTAAAAATCAATGGAAAAATATCCTCCAGTGAGGATTAACAAAAACAAAACAAAACACACCGATGAGAAAGACTTCATAACAGAAATATTGGCAAAGGATATGAAGAGGAAATTCAGAGGAAGGAACCAAATGCCTAGTAAATATGAAAAGATGTTCAGCTCTCTTAATGATCAGGGAAATACTAATATAGATACCAAGGAAAGTCATGAGCTACCATTTCACAGTCATAGTGCTGGCAAGGCTTCTGGGTCCATTATCAGGGAGTGTTGGCAAAGATGTGAAAACAGGACCCCACACAGGGCTGGTGGGAGTGTCCCCAGGCACCAGCTTGTTGGTGAGCTGTGTGGTGAGCCTAGGGAAGGTGGAGGGGCTCCTGCCCCCAGGGTGCTGCGGCCCTGTCTCTCCCAGAGCAACCATGTCACGGTGCACAGAGACTCGCAGGCAGATGTTCCCAGCAGCAGGTCTGTTCTCATTCCCCTCAGGGGCATTGGAAGTAAACTGGAGTTTACTTATTCAATGAAATACTATATAGTGGTTAAAATGAACGAACCTGATATGCTTGTTTGAATGTGTCTCAGAAACATGACAAATGAAGGGGGTTGGGGGGAGGAAGCAAATTCCAACGGGATATAGACTGAATTTCATCATTCCCACAAAACTGTAAAATACCAGTACTAATGGAATGCACTGCTTATCGACAGAGGGTAGGGAAAGCAGCAAGACAAGTGGTAAGTCTGATCTCTGGGAAGGGAAGGGCCAGGGCTGGGTGGCACTGGGCTTATCTCTACCCATAAGTTTCCATTTTTTAAAGAGAGATCTGAGCCAACAGCACACGGAGTCCTGCTCCCTTTGGCCTTTCATGCAGGCTCCACCCCTGACCTCCCTGGGGTCCCCTTGCAGTGGTTCTCAACCTTCCTAATGCCGGGACCCTTTAATACAGTTCCTCATGTTGTGGTGACCCCCAACCATAAAATTATTTTCGTTGCTACTTCATAACTGTAATGTTGCTACTGTTATGAATTGTAACGTCAATATCTGACATGCAGGATGTATTTTCAGGGGTCGCGACCCTGAGGCTTAGGGGAACAACTATTACCCCCCCTCCAAGTTAGCCCGAGCTGTATTCTCATCGCTTGTAACCACAAGGCCTGCCTATACTTTTTCTTTCCTTTTTTCTTCTTCATTTCAGCTCCAGTTCTTGCTCCCTTGTAGGTAGATGTCCCATTCATATGTGAGTGAACCTGTCCAGGTACAGGCGTCGCCAACTCCCAGCTCCACCCTGGCGTGGGGGACCTGCTCACGGGCAGAGAGAGCATCCACGCCGGGGACCTGGACTGCGGCTCCGGGTAAACGAGTGCCTCCCCGCCCGGCCTCAGTTTCCCCCCCAGGACGGGTCTGGCCCCCGCCGGCCCCGTCACCCCGTGATTCTCGGAATCCTGCCCT